CTTGCTTGCTTGCTTGCTTGCTTGCTTGCTTGCTTGCTTGCTTGCTTGCTTGCTTGCTTGCTTGCTTGTTTTGGAGAGATGCAGTCTTTCACTTATTTTCAGGCCGATTCAAGCAGATCAATTTCCTCTGGTGCTTTCTTTACCTCTTCCACTGGTGGCACTCTGCCAGTTAAAAATTGCATGGTTACCACGATAGTACTCCACTTATGACAATTTCCATAACCCTGTTCCTTTTCCCTCCAGAGGCACCTGAGCATTTAGGAATTTTATCCATGGGTTTCATCCAGGAAAAGCATTATCCTTTTAAAACTTGGAGCACAATTTGGTATTGCTTCCTCTTTAAAACTGAATAAAAACATAATGATATTATAACAGGCCATTCCCGCTGATGATAATGTACATATTTTTCCGGTTCCATATCCATAATGGTACCCTGCTGTAAATTGTTAAATTCCCTATAGGTTTTTTGCCTCCATGTAGTAATACCCCAAAACACTGCATGTGTATTACCATACATCCTTCTTTCATTGGAGAAGGACAAGTCCTTATTCACATTTCTCTGCAAAGCAATTCCTACTGTTTCTTTTTCTGCCTTACCCCAATTGTAGCATCTGCTGTCTGGCAAGAGTCAAATCTAGTTTGCTTTTCAGTTTGTGAGCATGATGCAGTACGTGAAATTAAGGTATCACAGTTAGAGGTCATAAGCACTTTCAGTGAAAATATCAAGGAAGCAGAAGAGAATCAAGTTAGCTTTGCTCCAGGGAGCTAGTAAGTTATAGTCATGGCCAGTGAAGCAAAAGGTTAGAGGCCAAAAGTCTCATCAAAGCAGCATTGCAAGAGCCATGTCGGCACATGTTTCCTAATAAAGGCGCCTGCTAAGGTCAGATATTCAGCAAATTCTTGCCGTTCATATCAAGAGAAGGCAAAGGACTGAGCAGGAGGTGAGATGCACGAACAAATAAAGACACAAGAGCTTGGGAGGGGGGAATGGTGAAGTATAATACAGAAATAGTAATGTTCTCCTTGACATTGGACAGGGTAAACCATCAGGAAGCTGCAGTTTTTTTATAGCTTTATTTACACAAAGCTCCATGTCCATGTTGCTTTGCAGAGGCTCACAAACAAAATAAAATTCCTTGTCCCCAAAGAACGTATAGTCTTATTTTATAGGAGAAGACTAATAATAAAAGGACAGGGAATAATGGACAGAGGCAGGGAGGAGGACATGTAAAAGTCCAAGCTTAGCAAGCTGTGAAATAATCAGCAGGATGTTGAGATTCTCCATTGTAGCTGAAGATGAGAGGTAAGGATTAGAGCAAATGCAAGCTAGAAAAGGGTTGCTTAGTCCAATCTGTACCTGCAAACCACAATCACCATTCTGATATGCACCAAGGAATAACAATGGAAGGCATAGTTGATCAATGTTCAAACTGCTTTGGACTATTAAAATGATAGGAGGGGGGTGGATTATGTACTGTAGTTCCTGTACTGTAAAGTACAGTTACATTCATGGTTTAGAGAAGAAGGCAATATCATGAAGATACATGGTGCAAGTGGAAACAAGACCAAGTAGCAATTTGTTTTTTACCATAACACTGTACAACTAGCAAACAATGCTTTATATTGGATTCTGGCCTTAAGGCAAAATCTGTGGATGGAGGGGTTGTTGTTGTTGTTTTTGTTTTGTTTTGTTTTGTTTTTGAGAGGGAGCGGTGGGCAAATCTTGTACTTGGATGGAGTTTCAGCTCATTTAACCTGAAGAAGTGGACAGGGCCCTTGGTGCTGCTAGTTTGGCCACTTGTGTCTTAGATCCAGGTTCCTCCTGGCTTGCTAAGGGTGTGCAGGAAGGGATGGGTAAGTGGATCTGGGTGAGAGAGGGAGTAATTCTGCCAGACAGTGATCTGCACTTCCCTCAAGAGGTCATCGCTCAACCCAACTAATTTGAACAGATGTTGTGTGATGAGAGTGGTCTTCAGAGGATCTTGGATGAAACAAATTATCTGGACTCCCTTAAGACCTAGGTATGGGACTGAAGCAGCATTGATTACACTTGTGGATGACCTCTAGCAGGAGCGGGATGAATCTAATGCATCTATCCTGGCTCCTCTTTACCTCTCAGTGCCATCTGATACCATTGATCATGATATCTTTCAGGATGGGCTTGAGAGTTGGGGGCTGGTTCTCCTCCTACCATCAAGGTCATCTCCAGTAAGTGTTGATGGATGATTGACCTACTTTGTGGGTACTTCAGGGCTTGATTCTCTCTCCTTTCCTACTTAATATCTACATTGGGTACTGAGTAAGGTGTTCCATTGGTTTGGGGTGAGGTATCATCAATATGCAAATAACACCCAGCTTTATCTCTCCATCTCAGGCCCTCTGGGTAATACTCTGGATGTCCTGTCACTGTATCTGGAGGCTGTTCTTTTAATTTTAATGTTTTCATGTCTTTATATTCTTGTTTTTATGATGCTGTAAGCTGCCCAGAGTCACTTGATGGTGAGATGGTCAGCATATAAATTAAATAAATAGATGAAACAATATTGGACAAAATAAAGGGCATGTTAGAATAAAAGGTAGTAATAAATTGCAGAAGAGAACAGAAATTTTGTACTTGTAAGAAATGTTAGAAAATATCATTGCATATCTCTCTCTAATATAGACATTTAAGTGCATTTTAAATAGCACTGTTAGTATTGTAAAAGAATAACGCCAAGCATTGGATTAGCCAGTTTAAAACGTCAAGTTTGAAACAAACAGTAAGTACTCTAAATCCAACCAGACACACATTAAATATAAATAAATCAATTTGTACATGACTTATAATAATTTCATATGAAAAATTCAAATAGAAAAATTAGAAATATACTGCATACATGTATACACTCTATATTACACAAATTTGAATTGGAAGATTTGATGGTTAAGATTTTTTTTCCAAATTCATTCCAGCTGCTTTCTGCATTCATGGAGCCTAATTTCTGAGAAACCTTTAGGAAAGGGTGGTGAAATCATATCATGTTGAAGCAAAAACAAATGACCCAATTACCTCAAACAAGACTTGAGGACACCATCTGGCTCTGTTTAGTGATACCATAGTGTATGGGCCTTATATAAACAGCATAAAACTGACTTCTACTTTACTGGATAATTGTGTGACAATGTGACCTCCCAACTTCTCCCCAGTGCTTGCATAAGTTAATCACTGTTATCATTAACATCAAGTCATAGCCAACATTCCCAGCTGAAATGCAAGAAATGACCATGCTGTTCAAACTCTTGTTCTCCAAAGACAAAAGATAGTTTAAATGCATACAAAACAACATGTAACCAAAAAGATAATCATTTGCCAGGATAATCAGGAAAATAAGCAATGATCTATTAAAACTCTGCAGAATATATTTTTTCTGCCACATATTTTTTAAAGAAGTGCATAGTTATGAGTTTTGCATGCAGAAAGCTTCAAGTGATCCCATGTAATATCCTTGAGGGGCTTCTGTCTTCTGAAGAAATGCAGAATGCTCCCCAAAGTCCATGTGGAATCAGGCAATGATTTTCTGGCATGTCACACACAAACAGGGGTGGTACTCAGCAGGTTCTGACCAGTTCTGAAGAACCGGTAGCGGAAATTTTGAGTAGTTCGGAGAACTGGCAAATACCACCTCTGACTGGAGATTTTACAGTATCCTTCCCCTGCCCTGCTCACCAAGTCACGCCCACAGAACCGGTAGTAAAACAATTTGAATCCCACCACTGCACACAAACCTTTGTGAGTCCTGCTTTGACTGAGTTTTCTGCATACAAAACTCATGATCTAGTATAAAGCTGCAATTCTTCCCCCAGAAGTATTGAAGTATTCTTTCACCTTAAAATTCCCAATCATAACCTGTTCTATTTATTAACTGATTTCTTGTATTACATCATGATCTGCTCCTTCTGTATTTACATAGACACATACTATATTTCTTGTTATACCCTAGAAGGAATCTCATCCATTTTGTTTTCATGGAATAATAAAAAAAACTCGATGAGGCACATACATGATGCTTCTAATCTGTGTCCTGCAAGCCTTACAAATAAATGCAGGGAAAGAAAAAATGTCATATCGGTCACTACTACTTTTACTGTAGCAGCTATGGTAACAGAATCTTGCAAGTCTGAACATTTATTTATTTATTTGATTTGTTTTGATCTGATCTGATTTGATTTGTCAATCACTTACAAGATAATGGACGTAAGTATAAACATGAGTAAGAATACAGGAAATAGGTACGAATAAATGGAGACAATAGGATAGGGACAGTAGGCACAACTGTGCACTTATGCACACCCCTTACAGACCTCTTAGGAATGGAGTGAGGTCAATAGTAGATAGTTTAAGGTTAAAGGAGTGGGGGTTTGAGGATGTAACAACAGAGTCAGGTAGTGCATTCCAGGCATTGACCACTCTCTTGTTGAAGTTGTACTTTCTGCAATCAAGTTTAGAGTGGTTTACATTGAGTTTGTAATCTGTTGTGTGCTCTTGTATTGCTGCAGCTGAAGCTGAAGTAGTCATTGACAGGAGGTAGGACATTGTCGCAGATAATTTTGTGTACTATGCTTAGGTCCAACCATAGGTGGCATAGTTCTAGGTCGTCCAAGCCCAAAATTTCAAATCTGGTGTTGTAGGGTATTCGGTTTGAGCAGAGGAGTGTAGTACTCTTCTTGTGAAATACTTCTGGACTCACTCAATTGTATTAATGTCTGATATACAGTGTGGATTCCAGACAGTGCAGCTGTATTCGAGTATTGGTCTAGCAAAGGTTTTGTATTCAATATTACCAGAGAAGAAGCTTCATAAGATTAGATTTACAACTCTTAATGCCTTTTTGACAATGCTGTTATGGTGAGCTCTGGTGCTTAGGTCATTTGATATAAGTACTCCAAGGTCCTTGACAGAGTGAGGATCGTCAGCGAGGTCATATCTGCCTAGCTTGTATTTGGTGTACTGTTGTTTTTTTTACCAATGTGTAGGACAGAGCATTTGTTGGTCAAGATTTGAAATTACCAATTGTTTGACCATTCAGACACATAATCAAGGTCACTTTGAAGGATGATAGCATTGTCAACCGTGTTGAATAGTTTTACACCATCAGTGAAGAGAGCACAGTTGGTTATAAGGTGATTGCAAAGGTCGTTTATGTAGAATATAAAGAGTGTGGGTCCTAGAACACTGCCTTGGGGGACACCACTGTTAACTGGTGCAGGGTTTGATAGGGCGCTCCTTATTTTTACTATTTGTTGCCTGTTTGACAGGCAGGTTTGACCATTTCTGAAGGGATCCGGAAATGCCGTAAGAGTTTAGTTGTAACACTAGTTTGTCATATACCACTGAATCAAAGGCTTTGCAGAAGTCTATGTAAATTGCATCTATTGCTTTACCCTGGTTGAGTAGAGTAGTCTATATGTTTAGATTGCAAGACAGTTTTTTCCTGAAACCAAATTGTTTTTTGGAGAGTAGGTTGTTTGACTCTAAGTGGAGGGTAATGGATTGGTTAATGATTAATTCCATGACTTTGTACATTATGCAACACAGAGAGATTAGTCTGAAGTTTTCAACGAGGCTGGGGTCACCTTTTTTGAAGATAGGGATGACCATTGCTAAGGACCATAGGTTCAGTAAGGAGCTGGTTCTGAATGATATCTCAAATATTATGTTTCAGGCTTCCTATCTATACATGCTTCCTATCTCTCCTTTTATCTTCATGCAAACCAGGGAGGGCCTTGTCTGAGATGTTTTCACATGTTATTTTTTTCAGGATGTGCTTAGGCTCCTCTTATCTAACTATTGCCTTGTAGCAGCTTTACCTTTTCTCCTTCAAGGCCCTCTGTGTATCATCAGGAGAACAGCATGCTTCTAGCATAATACACAGGGGTCTTGAATTTCAGATTCT